ATAGCCCTTGGCAGCTCCATGACAAGAGCTTAGGGTGATTACTGATGTCATAAACAAGAGTGTCAATTTGTTAAGTCAACAACAGGAGTCACTGTGCACTTACTCCTCATGTAGGATCTCTGTCCTTAATGTGCTGTACATTGTGATTTAATGCTATAACTAATACTCAAACAGTATTTTTCACTTTATGTTTCTGTGTGGGAGCAAACTGTTGAAATCTTTACTTAATGTATGCTAAACTGATCTTCTGTATATAAAGAGAATCGAAAATGAATCTTGATGTGAATGGAAGGGGAGAGGGAGTTGGCAAGGGGAGGGTATCGGGTGGGAGAGACGTTATGCGGGGGAAGCCATTGTAATCCATAAGCTGTACATTGGAAATTTATATTCATTAAATAAAAGTTTAAAAAAAATGTTCATGGAAAGATGGAATTAAGATGCTTGTTTTGGTTCAAAAATTTGAAATCCATGCATAGTTTCTTCATAATGTACATATTCTATGAACTTTATTATTTCAGTATTAAAAATTTATCTATTTGAGAAATAGACACATATCTGTCTGTCTGTCTATCTATCTATCTACCTTTCTATCCATACTGCGTGAGAGAGAGAGAAAGCTGCTTCATTTTCCAAAGGCCAGCAATGTCTAGAGCTGTTCTGGGACTGGTGCTAGGAGTCTGAAAGACAATCCAGTTTCCAGTGTAGATGGAAGGAAACCAATTACTTGATCCATCACTGCTGCTTTCCTATATTAGCAGTAAACTAGAATCAGGAGCCAGAGCCAGGATTTGAACACAGGTACTCTGATGTGGAAGCTGGGCCAAAGCACTTGGGCCATCTTCTGCTGTCTTCACAAGTGCATTAACAGTGAGTTAGATCACAAGTAGAGCAGCTGGGACTGGAAACAGTGTTTTGATGTAGGATGTTGGTGTCATAGCAGCAGTAACTTAATCCACTATGCCACAATGCCAGTCCCTTTCACTTGCTTTCTAACGACTCTTCCTGGGGCAGGTGTGCCACTAACTGGGAGGCCCACATCCCATATATGCCTGGGGCAGAGTCCCACTTCCATTTCCGATCTAACTTCCTGCTAATGTACTCCCTAGGAGGCAGCAGATGATGACTCAATTAATTGGGTTCCTGCCACCTATGTGGGAGACCTGGATTGAGCTTCAAGCTCCTTCCATTGTCTTGGCCTAGCCCTAACTGTTGTGGACTTTTGGAGAGTGAACCAGCAGATGGAAGATCAGTCTCTCTATTTCTCTCTCTATTTTTCTACATTTCCAGTAAATAAATAAATAGACAAATAAAAACTTAAAAATCCCCAGCACTCTTCCCAACATATGTAAGCATTCCTCAAGACTCATTTCTTGATGTTCTATTCTACTTTTTCTGTACTTCTTCAAAGTCATCATACACTCCCGAAATTTGGCAGTCATATTTGTGGGGCCTTGAGAACTTTTACCAAATTGCATTTTCAGCATCATTTGTTAGACATGTCAGCATCAGAATTTTAATGAAAAAAATTAAGACTATATTTTAGAAAGCATCTAAAATAACCACATTGGGGGCTGGCACCATGGCTCACTTGGTTAATCCTCCACCTGTGGCACCGGCATCCCATATGGGCACTGGGTTCTAGTTCTGGTTGCCCCTCTTCCAGTCCAGCTCTCTGCTGTGACCTGGGAAGGCAGTGGAGGATGGCCCAAGTGCTTGGGCCCTGCACCCCATGGGAGACCAGGAGGAAGCACTTGGCTCCTGGCTTCGGATCGGCGTAGCTCTGGCCATAGCAGCCATTTGGGTAATGAACCAACAGAAGGAAGACCTTTCTATCTCTCTCTCTCACTGTCTATAACTCTACCTGTCAAAAATAAAATAAAATAACCACATTGAACTCACAAGGTTTGAAGATAATAGGACTGGGTTGCTTCTTAATGTGGCTGAGATGGAATAATCTGCTGGGTACTGAAGTTCCCGGCGATCATCCAGTCTTATCAGATGCACACTGAAAAGAAGTCCAGACATTTTCATTAAACAGTTGCAGAATAGTTAGCCCCTCACCTTCTTCCCCCAGTGAAAGTTTCTCTTCTGCTTTGCTCTTTAGTGGGTTATTCTACCTCCCTTACCAAAATACCTTAGAGATTCAGTGCTTGCTTCCACATTTGGAAATGATATTTTCTATATGATATAGCCAGTGTAAACTGTGCATATACTCATATCTATTGTGTATTTATGCTATTAGACCATGACAACAATTTTGTCAACAGAGCATATATTAAATCTAGTTTTGTTGTCTGCTGCAAAGTATCACGTCAGAAGTCTATGCACATAGGGCTCTTATTGCCCATTTAAATTATAAACAGGGTGGGCGTTGTGGCACTGTATATTCAGCTGACTCTTGGGATACCCTAAATCCATACCACGGTGTCTAGGTTCCTGACCTCCTTTGCTCCTCACCCAGCTTTTTGCTCTTCCATACCCTGGGAGGCAACAGATAATGGCTCAGTTGCCTGGGTATCTGCCACCCATGTGACACCAGAATCAAATTTCTAACTCCTGGTTTTGGCCTGCATCTGTCCCTGTTGTTGCAGGCCTTTGTGGAGTGAACCAGTGTATGGAAGATATCTCCATCTCTTTCTGTCTCTGTCTGTGAAATAAATAAAAACAAACTAACTTAAAAACCCTCACTGGGAGTGCACAAGATGCATATAGAGTATTTGGTTAAATCTCTGAATCATTACTCTTTAATGTTGAATTTACATTTCAAATAGTCAGATGTCATATGTCTTTCTACATTTTATCATTTATAATAATTCAGCAAAATGAGTTTGCATTTAAACAGTTCATCTGCTATTTCCTGTTTTCTTGTCTTTACACTTGATTTTCTTTGCACACCTGAAGCATTTCTTTATATATATATATGTATCTATACATTCATGTACGTATATATACATGTGTCTATATATCTATATAAATCTGTATATACATATGCTTACATATCTATATATACACATGTATATAAATATACACATATGCACATATATCTGTATATAAATATATAGATACATGTGTATATATAGATATCTATATATAAATGTGTAAATACATATATGTATATATACACACATATACAGATTAATTTCTTTATATTATATATTTCTATTTATAATTTTATTTATAATCTCAGTGTTTATTAGAAAATTAAAATATTTAGGTTTCACAAAGATGAATGTAGACGTGATTGATAGCTTTTGAGATTATGTTTAAAATAGGCCAGCGCCACGGCTCACTTGGCTAATCCTCAGCCTGCGGCACCAGCACCCTGGGTTCTAGTTCCAGTTGCTCCTCTTCCAGTCCAGCTCTCTGCTGTGGCCCAGGAAGGCAGTGGAGGATGGCCCAAGTGCTTGGGCCCTGCACCCGCATGGGAGACCAGGAAGAAGCACCTGGCTCCTGGCTTCGGATTGGCGCAGTGCGCCGGCCGCAGCGGCCATTTTGGGGGTGAACAACGGAAGGAAGACCTTTCTCTCTGTCTCTCTCTCTCACTGTCTAACTCTGCCTGGCAAAAAACAAAAACAAAAACAAAAACAAAATGTTTAAAATAAAATTCTATTAGAGTAATATTTGGAGCTCTGAGACAGTATAATATCACCATACACAGTTTCTAAAGAATTATTTTGTAAGACATTGTATTTAAATTACCTATAACTAAATACCCAGATTAGTATTTTTGGATATTCCCTTCTGATTGATATTTTTACATTTAAAGCATGCTAAGTGTCAGAAGATAAATGGGGACTTTGCCAAGAACCTTGTTGTTTTGAATATTTCTAAATCAGATTCAGTTACCCTCCAAATTGATGGTAGCTTGTTTGTATTCTAGTCATGCTGCGTGTTCCAGGACCCACATGCTCTGGGAAAGCTGGATGTCTCTTCCTCCAAAATTTTCATAATTTTGTACTAAAATGTGTTAATGACTGTTCAACCCAGTCACAACTCCATTATACAAATGTCCCATCTTTCCCCACTGACAAACTGGCCAATACACAACTTCTTTTCACCTCCCATGAAAGTGTGTCAAGTGTCAGGTGTCCCCTGCATGTATTCATGAGTGGCATGGAGTTCCTCACCACACCCCAAGCTCCTCCACTTGCGGGAACTTACCATCTCCTATTCTTTCTGCTTTGTTAGTTTTTACCTTTAAAATATTTTTATCAATAAAAAAGTTTAGTGATAAACAGACCAAAATCATTTCTCCAGTTGAGACATGTCCAAAAGAGACAAGTCTCAGACCAGCATCCCTGTCAAACAATGAGAAATCAACCAACCATGGTTACCTTCAAAATAGCCTTTTAACACCAATAAAATGGACACAGAGACTAAGAAATACTTATTAAGAGGTCTTACATATGTTTCTTTTCATTTTCAACTCACTCTTTATCTCTCTTCTCATCCGCACAAATCCCTCCAAGAGATGTGTGCTTCACTAGGTCCTCTCTGCCCTTCTCCTCTTCTTCTGCTCTCCACCCCTCTTTATACTGCTTGTACCTCTGCATCACAATGTCCATGGAATGTGGCAACCTAGCAACCAATCAGAACCCTCTGTAAAGTGCGGGGGGTGGGGGGGTGGGGGGGGAGGGAATAACTGAAATATAACTGAAAAATAACTGAAAGGGACATCCCAGATTCCTTAAAATGACAGGCAGAGTAAAAATCTGGCAACATCCATGAGTTAATAATGTTTGCCTGTTTAAAGATAAATCAAGACTGTATGTCATTCCCAAGAGTGGTGAATAAAGAGGTTTCTAATTTAGCAGAAGATATCTAATACAATTTGAATGTCTTATAAATAAGACTTTTTTAGTATTATTATGTACTGAATAGAATCAGATATGTTTTCAGATAAATGTATACTAAGTAGAAGTTTTGTGGCCAGCGCTGTGGTACAGCAAGTTAAGTTTCTGTCTGTGACGCCACCATCACAGCACCAGTTTGATTCCTGGCTGTTCACTTCCAATCTGCCTTCTTGCTAATGCACCTGGGAACTCCTGCCACCTTCATAGGAGACCCAGATGGCATTCGAAGTCCCTGACTGGACTGGCACAGTGCAGATATTGTGGCCATTTGTTGAGGGAGCCAGCAGATGGAAAATTCTCTCTCTCTCTTCTGTCTCCCTTTGTCTCTCTTTCTCTCTCTCTCTCTCTCTATCTCTGGTCTTCAAAAAATAAATAAATCTTTCTTGCTAATTTGAGATTTAAATTTGACTGAACATCCTGTATTTTCATTTGTTAATTTTAGTAACCCTATATACAAGAATGCATTTTACTTGGTTTACAAATTTCAAACTGTCTTTATGTTACTGAAAGTCTGGTCCTTGTCAGTGGCTCCAAATCAGAAGAACGTGGACCAAGTTTGAGGATCAGGAAAAATAAAAGTCTAAGTTTCCACATGTGGATGAGTAGGGTAGCAGACTAGGGTTTAAGAACTGCCATCCTGTTCAGTGAGGGAGATCTGTGGCTTTTAAGAAGTGTAAAAGGGAAGTTGGGCTGCGAGGACATGACTAGTGGCATGTCAGTGGTAGACAGGTGCTAAAGCCAGTTGTGGGTCTGATAACAAGATATTTTTATTGATCTCAGATGTTAATGCAATTCTTTAAGAAATTTGCTGATGTCTTGATTTTATCATGAGAAGAGAGTAACTGGATGTTCTACACAACTCGACAGCTGCACAACATTATCTGGCTGGGATCTGAAACAAATGAAGTATTGGGTTAAGATATGTCAGTCTTTGATTAACCAGGGTGAGACGCATTTGGCCTACAGCCTATGTTTATTGTGCCCCTACTTACTTGTACCCTTTTATGTTTCAGCACAATAAATCCAATCCTTCTGTCACGCTGATTACTTTGCATCTTTAGTTGGCTTTCCCATGTCCAGTTTCTGGAATTCACAAGCAAATGTTATTTTTCTGTTGAAATCAACTCTTATTAATTACAAACCCAGTGGTTAGCTCTTGTTCATCAGAGGATGCAAAGGAAAAGAATGATATATTCACTATAGTTACATTTACATCCTTTGCCTCATCTTTTTTTGTTAATTTAGGTGAACATATTTTATTTTCCGTACCTAACTGATTATCCTTCAGATTTTTGACTTTTGATAATCAAGCCATAGGGAGCCATATTTTTAATAACCTTCTTGACTCTTATCAATGTACCATTATATTTTTTAAGAATTATTTTATTTATTTGAAAGACAGAGTTACAGAGAGAGGTATAGCCAGAGAGAGAGAAAGAGCTCTTCCATTCCACTGGTTCACTCCCCAAATGACCGCAACAGCCAGAGCTGAACTGATCCGAAGCCAGGAGCCAGGAACTTCTTCTAGGACTCCCACACGGGTGCAGGGGCCCAAGGACCTAGGCCATCCTCCACTGCTCACCCAGGCCACAGCAGAGAGCTGGATCAGAAGTGGAGCAGCCTGGACTCAAACCGGTGCCCATATGAGATGCCCACACTGCAGGCTGGGGCTTTCACCTGCTGTACCACAGTACAGCCAGCCCCATCAATGTACCATTATTAAGATCATGTCTCCAGAATATGTGCAGTTCCCCTCTGCTCCTGATTGGGAACAAGATGAGATTCCTGATACTCATCTACATGAACATGTGAGACCCAGAGGGGATACTAGGGTTAAGTGTTTCTCATCTAAGATGAAGTCCATCCAAGAGGAACTGTCAGATGTGAATTACAGGACAGCCTAACACCAAAGGGTCAGTATAGCACCTGATTAGAAACTGAAAGTCAAGTTGTGGAATAAAAACTGAACCAGTAGCCTAGAAAATAGGAGTATTAGAGGGAAGAAATTAAAAGAAAACCTGGCAGAACTCCAGAGAAAAGAACAGTTAACCTCTTACACCTGTCTTTCAGATGTAAGCTTTTGTGGGCATAATAAATAAAAGAGGACTAAGCAAGCTGCACTATTGATTCACTTTACTTACTATTTTCTTTTATTACCTGTTTCTGTATCCAGTGTTTGTTGTCTTTCATACTTTTTTCATGTTCTACCCTTGCTATGCAATTAAGTTGTAAGCAAAGTCTCTAGGTTGGGCTAAAAGTACAAGCTCAAAGTATGCAGATTTGTCATATTTTTAAAAATCTGGTAAGGAAGCTCTTCAAATGGATTATTTACATAAAGGACTAAAGAGCTTCACGAGAAAAAAATCTAACTCAAAAACAGAGTCAAAGCACCTAAGTATAAAATAGAGGAATTAAGCATTGATTTTGCTTATAATAGTCTCTCTCTCTCTCTCTCTCTCTTTTGTTTTAAAGATTTATTTTTTGCAACAAAATGGAGAAATCTGGAAAACATTATGCTGAGTGAAATAAGCCAGTCCCAAAGGGACAAATATCATATGCTCTCCCTGATCCGTGACAACTAACCGAGCACCAAAAAGGAAACCTGTAGAAGTGAAATGGACACTATGAGAAACAGTGACTTGATTAACCTTTGCCCTGACTGTTGATGAACAACTTAATACGTTATCCCTCTTAGTATTTTTTTTTGTCTGTTCTACTTAATACTATTGGTTTAATTCTGTAATTAATACACAGTTATTCTTAAGTGTTGAAACTTAACTGAAAAGTGATTCCTATTAAATATAAGAGTGGGAATAAGAGAGGGAATGGATGTACAATGTGGGGCATGCTCAAGCTAACTTGCCCCAAACGGTAGAGTTAGAAACATACCAGGGGATTCCAATTCAATCCCATCAAGGTGGCATGTACCAATGCCATCTCACTAGTCCCGGTGATCAATTTCAGTTCACAATTGATCATAATGATAGGACTAAGAGCCAAAGGGATCACATAAACAAGACTAGTGTCTGAAAATACTAACTGATAGAACAAAAAAGGGAGAGAACGATCCAACATGGGAAGTGAGATACACAGCAGACCCATAGAATGGCAGATGTCCTAAACAGCACTCTGGCTTCAGAATCAGCCCTTAAGGCATTCGGATCTGGCTGAAAAGCCCATGAGAGTATTTCGGGCATGGAAAGCAAAGACACTCTGGGAAAAAAAAATGACCTAAATGAAAGATCTCCGCGAGTGAGATCCCAGTGGAAAGAACAGGTCATCAAAGGAGGAGGTACCTTTCTCTGAAGGGAGGAGAGAACTTCCACTTTGACTATGACCTTGTCTAAATATAAGAGTCGGTGAACTCAAAGGCTTCCATAGCCTTGGCAACTCATGACTAGAGCCTAGCAAGATTACTGACACCATAAACGAGAGTGTCAATTTGTTAAGTCAACAACAGGAGTCACTGTGCACTTACTCCTCATGTAGGATCTCTGTCCTTAATGTGCTGTACATTGTGATTTAATGCTATAACTAGTACTGAAACAGTATTTTTCACTTTGTGTTTCTTTGTGTGCAAACTGTTGAAATCTTTACATAATATATACTAAATTGATCTTCTGTATATAAGAGAAATAAAATGAATCTTGATGTGAATGGAAGGGTGGAGGGAGAGGGAAAGGGGAGGGTTGCCGGTGGGAGGGAAGTTATGGGGGGGGGAAGCCATTTTAATCTATAAGCTGTACTTTGGAAATTTATATTCATTAAATAAAAGTTAAAAAAAAAGATTTATTTATTTATTTGAAAGTCAGAGTTACACACAGAGAGGAAAAGCAGAGAGAGAGAGAGAGAGAGAGAGAGGCCTTCCCTCCCCAATTGGCCACAATGGCCGGAGCTGTGCTGATCCGAAGCCAGGAGCCAGGAGCTTCTTCCAGGTCTCCCATGTGGGTGCAGGAGCCCAAGGACTTGGGCCATCTTGTACTGCTTTATCAGGTCATAGCAGAGAGCTGGATCGGAAGTGGAGCAGCCAGAACTTGAACCAGTGCCCATATGGACAGTGCCAGCTTTATCCACTATGCCACAATGCTGGCCCCCTCCCTCTCTCTTATCTTTATCACTTCTGTCTTTCTATTGACCCACCCATTGATCTAACTACTATCCTTGTTTGGGTCGTGTCATTCTGTGAACATGTGTCACAAATTTAAGAAACAATAAAAAAGGATGATCTTTTTAAATTAATTAATTAGGAAGACTGAATGACAGAGAGGGAAAGGCAGAGAGTGAGAGGTCTTCATCCACCATTCACTTCCCAAATGCTTATCATGGCCAAGACTAGGATGAGCTGAAGCCAGAAGTGGTGAACTCTACTCGGGTCTCCCATGTAAGTAACAGGGAACCAAGTACTTGGGCTGTCTTCTGCTGCCTTCCCAGGTACATTTATAAGAAACTATATTGGAAGTGGAGCAGCTGGGGCTTGAACAGGGCACTCTGACAAGGAATGCCAGCATCACAAGCCATGGCCTTACTGCCATGTCACCGCCGGTTATATCTAAGAGATGGCTTTTCTCCCCTGAGTTGATTGCAGAGCTTATCATAGAATAACAATTGGGTACCCGCTGACAGTGTTCATCCAAGAGGACAGCAACCAGACAACATGAGGGAGATCTAACGGCATGTAA